CATGAGTAAAAATTTTAAGTATTAAAAGTAGTGACGAAACAGTAAAAATATGTACACTTATGGAAATACATCATAATTATAAATAAAGTAGGTAAATCTATCAAGCCAAATTCCAATTGTCCCTGGCTCCCTCCTCCTTCTCCCCTAACCCCGGAGATAACTATTATTAAAAGAACATCTAGCATTTTATACCCAGCCAAAGTAGGAAGCCGTTTCACAGACTCAGAAAGTTTACTACCCACAGACCTACTATGAAAGAATTACTAAAGGACGTATTCCAGAAAGAAGATATGTGAGACCGGAAGCAATCTGTCCGGGACACGAGGCCATGGTGAGCAAAGAAATTACTCAACCTTATTGTTAAGTTTAAATAAGTTGAGTACTTACATTTTTACATTAAAAATAACAAGCTATAAGTATAATTCCATTCTCTTAACAACTCAAGTGTGCATAGTCAGGGGGAGGGGTGGGGCACCTATAACAACTAAGTGTGGTGATGTTTTATGCTTTGTTTGGAGTGGGAATGGTTTAGATACTGATTAACTCTAAGATCAGTGTTTTTCAAACTTTGAGCTCTAAGAGTAAAAAAAATTTTATATCACAAACCACTATACAGATATATACAAGTAAATAATTAAAACAAAACTATTAGGAAAAAAACTTAACTTTATTATATGTAACAATGAAAATATTTTAAAAATTAAAACTTAATATCCAATATAGTTCTTTCTAAGTATCTCTACAATGCAGTAAGATTTTTGAAAATTTTCATTTATTTTTTAAATGCTAGTTGTGACCTACTAGACTGATTTAATGGCCCACTAATTAGTTATACCCACAGCTTGGAAAACACTGCTCTAGATGTCAGTAAAACGTATTTGCATGTTTAACATTTTTTTTAGATGAATAAAAATAGAATTTATAGCTTTGAATTATTTGGGGTGGGAGTATTAAACAGCAAACCATCCATAAATTAGCAAAGGGAATTTACACAAAACCATTACGATACAGATAAATGGAAAAGAAAATAGCAGGAATTAATCCTATTATATCTGTAATACAATGACTATTAACATCTTTCAAAAAGGCTTAGTATTTGCGTGCAGGTTGAGCAACAGGTCACAGTTTGATTCCCAGTCAGGGCACAGGCCCTGGTAACGGGCTCAATGCCCAGCTTTGGGAGTGCAGGAGGCAGCCGATCAATGATTCTCTCTCTTCATTGATGTTTCTCTCTCTCTCCTTCTCACTTCCTCTCTGAAATCAAACAAGCTTGGAATTGAATGAATAATGATCTCTTGAAAGAGATAATTTATTTAGCATTTTCTATATTTCCCATCTATTGCAATGAAACAAGGAAAAGATTCAAGAGATAGAACTATCATTTGCAAATAAAGTACCATAGAAGTCTAACAAAAAGTGTATTAGACATTTGGGGGGAAAACTATTAAAAAATTAGTAAAGGGCATACAAAATACCTGATAATGGAAAACTGCTCTGTTGTGTCAAAGATCTGACACTTAATAATGTGATATCAGTTGTCCCTTAAAATTAACCAATTGAATTTTCTTTCCAAATATTATATGATGAAACATAGCATGTAAATATATTAATAACATTAACATGACTCAAATTTCTATTCTATCACAATAATACTGTTTTATAATTAATAAATGTGAGGTCAGTTTTTGCTTATGGTTATTATTGATAATTAGTAACATTTATATATAGTCCTTATAATACAAGATGACATAGTGCTCATTCCAGGAACTGAGTGAAGGCCAGTATGAATCTCAGCAGGCAAGGGAGAGTGAGGTGCATATAATGTCCTTGGAAGCCACTTCCTAGATTTTGGAAGATCATTGAAAGGTTTTAAGAAAGAGAGTGATATAATTATTACACTTGTAATTTAAAGAATTCTCTATGGCTACCCTTTGAATAATGCATTGCAGTTGACCAAGAGTAGGTTCAGCCCTAGCCGGTTTGGCTCACTGGATAGAGGGTAGGCCTGGGGACTAAAGGGTCCCGGGTTCGATTCCAGTCAAGGGCATGTACCTTGGTTGCAAGCACATCCCCAGTAGGGGGTGTGCAGGAGGCAGCTGATCGATGCTTCTCTCTCATCGATGTTTCTAATTCTTGATCCTCTCCCTTCCTCTCTGTAAAAAATCAATAAAATATATTTTTTTAAAAAAGAGTAGGTTCAACAAAATGAGCAAGTAGCTTGAATTATGATTGTGACAGAGGAAATGGTGAGCAATGGTTGGACTGGTGAGTTTTTTAAAATTAGAGGGTGGCCCTGGCCGGTTTGGCTCAGTGGATAGAGTGAAGGCCTGCAGATTAAAGGGTCCCAATTCGATTCTGGTTAGGGGCACATGCCCAGACTGCGGGCTCTATCCCCAGTGGGGGGCATGCAGGAGGCAACCAATCAATGATTCTTCTCATAATTTATCTTTCTACTCTCTCTCTCCCTCTCCCTTCCTCTCTGAAATCAATAAAAATAAAATTAGATGGTGGTTCTATTTCTTGACCAAAGGGTATGCTTAAACTAGTGCCAGGTTGGTAGAGGACTGGGTAATCTCCTGTTCTGGTGGTAACATGTCATGGATGTGGATAGGATGGTTCTTGAGATCAGATATAGGGTGAGAAGAATAGAGGGATGTTGGCTTGAGCCCCAACAAGTAAAGATCTGATTTAAGAGAAATCTTTATATCTGAAACACATTTATTCTAATAAAGCAATTAGAAAGTCAGGGTTTATTTGACTCCTTTCCTCCTCCCCACAACCATTTCCACTCAATAAATGAAATGACACGTTTGACTTGTGACACTATATTGTTAATAATATTTACTGGCAATAAAACACCCTACCCAATATTTCAAGTGTTAAAACAATAAAAATCTTTTAAAATAGGTATCCTATATAATAAAAGGCTACTATGCAAATCGACCAGTCACTATGACGCGCACTGACCACCAGGGGACAGACGCTCAACATAGGAGTTGCCTCCTGGTGGTCAGTGCACTCCTACAGGGGGAGCTCCACTCAGCCAGAAGCTGGGCTTATGGCTGGTGGCTGGTGAGCCAGTGGCAGTGGCAGGAGCTCCCGCCTCTGCAGCAGCGCTAAGGTCCCCCCTTCGGTGGATGTCCACCAAGGGGTCCTGGACTGAGAGAGGGTGCAGGCTGGGCTGAGGGGCTCCCCCCTCCACTACAGTGCACAAATGTTGTGCACCGGGCCTCTAGTTTAAATAATTCTAAAGTTTTCCCCAAATAAAGAAAATAATTAATGTGTGTATATAGACAGGAAGTGTTTTCAAGTAGGATCCTAACTTTCCTGATTCTATCTAGTAAGCTACATTAAGTAACAGATAATTAAGAGACAGATGAATGGAACAGAGTACTCTAGATATAGGCCTTATTTATTTATGTTCCAATGGAAGCATCAACACAATTTGTTAGGAAATCAAAAGGGTTATCCCTGATTTGTTACAGTTGCCAAGATTGAGACTTGTTAGACACACTCAAGAATTAAAGTTCTTATGTTGACATTACTGGTATTAAAGTAGCTAGTATCATTGAATAATATAGCATATGGGTCTCAATTTTAGTGACATGAGCACATTTGTAACTAACCTCTAATATTTAGATTTCTAATTAGCTTATAACATAGAATTTTAGTTTGAAAAGACTGAATGAAAGCATAACAATCACTAATTGTATACGTTCTTAATAAATAATCCATATTATTTTCTATTGTAGCTCTTTCATCAGTGTAAGTATGAATTGTATGATATGCATCACCCTACATATCATTTCCATAATCTTAAACTCACCTTACATGATATTGTGAAATAACCTTTATGGACTGTGTTTTCCTATAGGAAAAAAACCTTGAAGATAATTTACAGAGTTTGGCCACACAATTAGCTCCAATTTATAGACAGTATGCTCCGGTTGCTTACCAGAACCAGGTATGTTCAGGGACCTTATATAGTACATTTAAACATTTCTAATTTGATCTTTTTTATTGGATAGCTTTAACATTATCTAGGATTTTTCAAAAGCATTATTATGGCAATTGAATTAAAACATCATAGAATTATGATTTGTTCTCCATATGAAACTTAGAAAGCAGGAATGTGTGATTGGTTCAACACATGAAAATTAATCAATGTGCTATACCATATTAATAGAACAAAGAAAATCATGTGAAGTAAAGTCAGTGAGTAATCCAAGTCTTATATAATAAAAACATTCAACAAACTAACAGTAGAAGGGAATTGCCTCAACCTGGTAAATGACATCTGTGAAAAACTCAGAGCTAACAGAATCCTATATAATAAAAGGGTAATATGCAAATTGACCCTAACAGCAGAACGACTGGGAATGACTGGTCACTATGACACACACACTGACCACCAGGGAGCAGATGCTCAATGCAGGAGCTGTCCCCTGGTGGTAAATGCGCTGCCACAGGGGGAGCTCTGCTCAGCCACAAGCCAGGCTGATGGCTGCCAGCACAGCGGTGATGGCGGGAGCCTCTCCCGCCTCCTCAGCAGCACTAAGGATGTCCGACTGCAGCTTAGGTCTGCTCCCTGTTGGTAAGTGGACATCCTCCAAGGGCTGCCGGGCTGCCAGAGAGATGTCTGTCTGCCAGCTTGGGCCCAATCCCCCAGGAAGCGGACCTAAGCCAGCAGATGGACATCCTCCAAGGGGTCCCAGACTGCAAGAGGGCATAGGCCGGGCTGAGGGACCACTCCCCCCTTCCCCCAGTGCACAGATTTTTGTGCACTGGTCCTCTAGTTAATGATTAAAGACAAAAAGCTTTCTGCCTAATATCTGGGACAAGATAAAAATGTCAAATGTCACCACTTGAGTGAAACATGTTGGAGCTTCTAGTCAGGACAATTAAGCAAGTAAAAGAAATCCAAATTAAAAACGAAGGGATAAAACAATGTCTAATTACCAGTGGTATGATACGGTATCCAGAAAATAGTGAAGCATACACACACACTGAATTAGAAATAAGTGTTAACATAACAAACCCACACCTGAAACCTTTATGTTCATGTTCATGTTGACCAATGTCACCCCAATCAATTTAATTAATTAATTAATTAATTAAAAATAAACAATTTAAACAAAAGAACTAATAAGTGACTGCAGCCAAGGTTTCTGCGTACAAGATCAATATGCAAAATCATTGCATTTCTATGCACTAGCAATGGACAATTGAAAAATATAATTAAGAGAAAGTAGACCATCAGAATTTTTAAATGTTGTGCTTCAAAGGACATCAACAAGAAAACAGGGTGAGGGGAGATGGTGAGATGTTGCACAAGGGGTACAAACTCATCTATATGATACATAAAATCAGGGGAGCTCATGCACATGTGAATTAACTAATACTATATTATATACTTAAAATTGTTAAGAGATTTTCAATGTTACCACTCCAAACACAAAATCGTTTTAATTATGTGAAGGGATTGGAATGTTAACTAAACTTATGGTGGCAGTCATTTTGCAATACATGTATGTATCTCATCATCACATTGTGCACCTTAAACTTACAAGTTACATGTCAGAAATATGTCAGTTAAAACGGTGCAGCAGGGGGTGAGTTTAAACAAAGACAACCACAGAATGGAAGAAAATATTTATAAATCTTGTATCAGAACAGAAAATAAGTGTAAATATTTTATTATTTTTAGATGCATCAGTCCATATTTTTTAAATCTTTATTTCATTTGTATTATGAATAACATGCTCTCTCGCTTCAATTTCAGCTTTTCGTTTACTTTTATTAATGTACTTTCTATACTTTCTATACTTTTTCATGAATGTATGTATATTTAATTTTATACACATTGAAAATTGCATACATGATCAAGGCACTCTAGTTTTCATTCTACGTGGCATGACTTGGCTACTTAAATAAACAATAAGTGGGCATTAGTGTAGTCACCCTGCCTTCAGTCATAGCAATTACCATTTTACCCACGTATCCTCAACCTCTTTTTCCTAAATGTCACTAGACAACACATTCAGTACAGCAGTACTGTCGCTTAGGACAGCTCTGAAATTACAGACTGTAATTAATTTAAGAACTTTGTCAGGAAGTGATTTTTACTCTTCACTGAAATGGATTCTTTCTGTCTGTTATACTGTGTCATACTTCTTTTGTTTTTTAGATACAATTTGAACATATTGCCCGAGAATGTCGGCTTGGCAACAAAGAAGGTCGTCCTTTCTCTGGGGTCACTGCTTGCGTAGACTTCTGTACCCATGCCCACAGGGACATTCACAACATGAATAATGGAAGTACTGTGGTATGGACCTTGCTCGCTTTTGATTCTAAAATCTTTATTGCTATACGCTTAGGCCAAGGCCTTATATATGACTTGTGACATCATTTTGTATGCTCTGTTGCACAATATAGTAATCAATAGTTTTAATTTAAGTTATTATTGAAGTACTGTACCTCCAAAAGAGTTGCAGAATTAGCCTTCAACATATATTTTGTTGAAACTCTTGAATTATATATTTAATGGAGGTGTGCTTGCTAGGAGGTAGGAGTTATCTAATATTCAAACCAACGATTCTGTGCTATCAATCTAGTAGTTAGAAAGTTAGGCAACTCAATTTTTTTTTTTTGTAAGAATGCACATTTGAAAAATATGTTATCATTGATTTTAGAGAATGGAAGGGAGAATAAACAGAGAAATAGCGATTGGCTGGCTTCTGCACAATCCCTACTGGGCATGTGCCTTGATCAAACTGGCCACCTCTCAATGCATGGAATGACGCTCAGCTGAGTAACACTAGCCATGTCCTTAATGTTTGCTTCTTTTTTTTTTGCCATCTGTGCTTCAGTGTGTGTGTGTGTGTGTGTGTGTGTGTGTGTGTGTGTGTTTTGAGGGAACTGTGCCAAATTTCTCATCTTTTTAATGCATATAGATTGTTAATGCCAGTGTGTATAAAGTTGCATGAATATTCAAAAATCAAGAGATACTGGCTTGGGTTGTGTGGCTCGGTTGGTTGGGCCACATCCGGTGCACCAGGAGGTTGCTGGTTCTATTCCATTTCAATGCACATGCCCAGGTTGCGCGATTAATCCCTGGGCAGGAGGCAGTTTATCGATGTTGTGCTCTCATTAGGTGTCTCTCTCCCCCTCTCTCTCAGAAATCAATAAACCAATCTTCTTCTTCTCCTCCTCCTCCTTTCCCTCCTCCTCCTCCTTCTTCTTCTTTTTAGCGAGAGAAAACCCAGGAGGAAATCTTGCAATACTCCTTTTGTAAGGGAAATGAGTTTGCTTCAAGGAATTATTTTCTTCTCACCTTGTAAAACAGAGATTAGTAGATAATGAATGCATCTCTTTTTTTGTTTGTTTGTTTGTTTTGTTTTAATATACCAATGTGTTTCCTCGGCCCAGTGTAAGATACAGCTACAGGGTCTTAACAGTGTGATTTGAAAGGCACAATCTTATTCATCACTGGTCAATAGACTAGGAGCCATATCACTCCTCTGCACTGATTATTCAGTGTTTTTTCCAAATGTTGGGATTTTATAAATCTGACCAGGTGCCTAGTCAGTGTTGCTCAGCAGTTGAGTGTCAACCCATGAACCAAGAGGTCACACGTTCCATTTTCAGTCAGGGCACATGCCTGGGTTACGGGCTCGATCCCCAGTAGGGATAGTGCAGGAGACAGCCATTCAATGATTCACTATTACCTTTCCTTGTCTCTATCTCTAAAATCAATAAAACAATATTTTTTAAAAATCTCTCCAGGTGACTCTTAGCCAGAGTGATTCATCGTCATCATTTGGCTAGTACATTTTACCTGAGTTTGCCGCATTCCAAAATATCTATCATCAAGCAGGGTTAGGTTCATGGTTAAACTAAATGTTTTTTTTTAAGTATATTTTTTTAATTATATATTTTTATTGATATTCGAGAGTAAGGAAAAGGAGAGATAGAAACATCAATGATGAGAGAGAATCATTGATTGGCTGCCTCCTGCATACCCCGCACTGGGGATTGAGCCCACAACCCAGGTATGTGCCCTTGACTGGATTGGAACCTGGGACCCTTCTGTCCACAGGCCGACGCTCTATCCACTGTTCATGCTCATTCTTTTGCACTGCTGTTGTTATTCATTCCATGAGGCTCGTGCCTAGTTCTTGGCATAATTACAAATTTCCCCATCTTAAAATACCTGAACCCTTGGAATTCTACTGTCAAATTTTCTTCTACCCTGTCTGTTTCTTATATTTCTCATGTTTAGTCCTTGTCCCCTTCTTAGTCTCTCTACGGACAAATAAATAGATTGACATAAACATTTACTAGTAAAATATTTGATTTTTCAACAGAATGTTTCCAAGTTACTAAATTTTAAAATATTGAAATCAAGAGAGTTCAGTATTTCAAGCCTTGCGAGTAAATTTGACTAGAGATACTGAGAAAATAGTAAGATTTTAAAAACTTTTAGTCTACCTGACTTTATCATCTGTTTCTATCAACCTTGGAAATCAAATGTTGGAAACAATTGTATATGCTTTTAATCTTTAATGACATTTGAAAATTAGTTTATGAAGAAGAATTAAGTATCAAAAATTAGGAATTTTCTCTATATAGTTCTGTATTTTTACTTCTCTACAATTTATAAAAACAATGTAAGGAAAAGGCCTGAGAGATAGGTTATATACCAGACAGAATTTTCTTAAGATGCCCTATTTATCATTCAAACAAAGACAGCCCTGGCCATTTATCTCAGTGGACAGAGCCCTGGTCTGCACACAGAAGGATCATGGGTTCTGTTCCCAGTCAAGGGCAGGTACCTCAGTTGCAGGTTTCACATCCCTGGTAGCCGATGGATGAGTGTTTCTCTCACTTCAGTGTTTCTCTTTTGTCTCTCCCCCCACTCCCCTTCCTCTCTCCCTTCCACTCTCTAGAAATCAATGTGAAAGAAAATCCTCGGGTCAGGGTTATAAAAACAACAACACAAGTCAGGCAAATTATGATAGAAACAAAATGGAGCAGAAAGAGACAATTTATCAAGATACAGTACTTCAGTTATTTTTTAAAAAACAAATAAAATATATGTTTTGCTAGAAAAGGAAATCTCTTTTGTTTTATGAATATCTGTCAATTTATTTAGTGAAGGCAGAAAAGATAAATTCCACCTAACAAACAGAAACGAAAAATTCCTAAAGGAAAACACAGCAAATTAGAAAATTTATTATAATTAGGCTTCCTCTACCTGAAGGATTTTAACATTATTTAAATATGAGAATTAAGATTATGTATTGGCTGTAAAATAGTAATTTCTTAATAGTTAATATTTAATATGAAGGCAGTGAACAACAGTTCACTAACTGCTCTTTAATTCAGGCAATTAAGATGTCATGTAACAGCTAAAAGGCTTCATATTTAAAATATTGTAAAATATATAAACATGCAATATCATTTACTTATAAAGTCAACTGAAAATTATAACGGTCTGCTTACCAACAATTGATAAGTTCATAGAATTTAATGGTGTTGGGTCACTTAATATATAAGCCATTTATCCAAAATTAAAATACCAGTAGTAACCAATTGAACATAAAATTTGAATACAGATCCCTTGCATTATGGCAGCGAGATGGTAGGAATAACTATGATGAACGTGCAGGACCTACATTTTCCATTTTTTCTTCCTATCAGGTTTGTACCTTGACACGAGAAGATAACCGCTCATTTGGTATCATTCCTCAAGATGAGCAGCTGCATGTTCTACCCCTTTATAAATTATCAGACACAGATGAGTTTGGCTCAAGGGAAGGAATGGAAGCTAAGATCAGATCTGGGGCCATTGATGTCCTCACACCGTGTCGCAAAAAAAGAACATGTTTTACTCAGCCAATTCCTCGTTGTGGGAAGAAAAGAGCAGCGATGATGACAGAAGTCTTCACGCGTAAGATAAAGGCTGTGGAGAAGAAACTCATTCCTCGAATCAAGCGGAAGAATAACTCGACAGTGCACAACAGTAAGGCTTCATCCCTGTCGCATTTAGGTGAGGCCTTGGACCGTGCAAGTTATCAGTGTATAAGTTTCCTTTGCACTGTATTCTTCCTCTCCTTTATCTTTGCTACTCTTAGTAATGGGCATTTATGTCAGATATCAGTCAATTAAGTTAGCTAATTGTTTTATCTCTTTTTTAAAAAATATTTTTTTATTGATTTCAGAGAGTTAGGAAGATGGAGAGAGAGATAGAAACATCAATGTCTTGAGAGTATAGTTGATCTGCTGCTTCCTGAACACCCCCTATTGGGGATGGAGCTGACAACCCAGGCACATGCCCCTGACCAGAATGGAACCCGGGACCCTTTAGTCCCCAGGCTAACGCTGTATCCACTGAGCCAAACCAGTTAGGGCTCAATTGTTTTTAATATAACTTCATTAGAGTTCAAACTATATATATGACACCAAATATATTTCTACATACTTACCCACACCAAAAATCAACAAAAAAAATGCCCCATCTCTATTTTTTCAAAAACATGTTCTTTTTTTTTTTTAATTCTCATCCAAGGATTAGAGAGAGAAAGGTAGGGGAAGAGAGATTGAGTTGAAACATCTATCATGCCCTGACCAGAGATCAAAACTGGCCACCTAGGTATGCGCCTGGACCGGAAATCCAATCCAAAACCGTTTGGTGTACAGGAAGATGCTCCAGCCAACTGAGCCACCCAGAAAGGGCAACGTGTTCTTTTTTTGTCCCCCCTCTATTTTGAAGCCCTCATCCTCCTTTTTGGCATACATGAAATGGCATTACTTCCTCCAAATCTTCCTTGATCAATTTAATTATCCTACTCCACTAGTTTTACTGAGCACCACTCGGAAGCATCTTAGGTCTTGGAAATGTAGCCATGGCAATGAGGACAGATAGTGCTGTAGAACAATTACATTTAAATACATCACAAAGATTCACTAAGAGTAAGGCATTTCTGTGAAGTCCTGAAGGAAATGAGAATCTGCAGTGCTTTTATTTGGAGAAATAGCATTCCAGGCAGAAGAAATGGCAAAGGCAGGAAGCTGGAATTTCCCTTGAATACCTGATGCTAGCAAGGAGGCCATTGTGGTTGGAGCAAGTGTGCAATGCAAACAGTTGGAGATCAAATTGGAGAGGTAAGAGGGAATCCAGGCATCTCAGGTTTTGTAGATTGCTGTAAAGACTTTGGTCTTTATTGTGAATGAGAAGAAGTTTACTGGAGATTGCAGTATAGAAAAGGGATATGATGTCACTCAAACCTAGCATTCTGGTTACTAGGTTAAAACTAGAGTAAAGTGGGGCAGCGAATAGAAAAGTAGGGTCATCCTAAATGCCCATCCTAACAATTCAGGAGAGAGACCAGAGTGGCTAAAGAGGACATAAGGAAATATCTAATTCCGGATATGGTTTGAAGGTTAAATCAACAGGATTTCTGATTAAATTTGGCATGTGTCCCCCCAAAAGTGTCAAGGTTTACCCTGAGGTTATTGGCCTGAAGAAACTGGAAGTGTGGAGAAACCAGCCAACATGTAACAAGGAATGGGGAGAGGAGAACAGGATTGGAAAGATAAACAGGAAGACCAGAAGCTCACTTCTGTCTGACTTTCGAGCCTCAGTGATGGAGTATGAACCAGGAGGTTACTGTTCGATTCCCAGTCCCCCATATGCCTGGGTTTTGGCCTGAATCCCCAGCAGGGGCCGTGCTGGAGGCCGCTGATCAATGATTTTCTCTCATCACTGATGTTTCTATCTCTCTCTCTCCCTCTCTGAAATCAATCAATCTATATATATATAAACTATAAAAAGCATTTTGTACTTATCTTCACATTTGGTGTCCTTTTCTCTGTTTAGGGAATAAAACTGAGACCTTGCAACCTGAAATAAAAAGTGAAACTGAGCCCTAGCTGGTTTGGCTCAATGGATAGCGTCAGCCTGCGGACTGAAGGGTCCCGGGTTTGACTCGGGTCAAGGGCACATGCCTGGGTTTCGGGCTCAATCCCGGTAGGGACTGTGCAGGAGGCAGCCGCTCAGTATTTCTCCCTCATTGATGTTTCTCTCTCTCTCTCCCTCTCCCTTCCTCTCTGAAATCAATTAAAAAAAGAAAGAAAGAAAGGTGAAACTGAACCCAATTTTATCTTCAAAGGTTCGGACAACATTCAAATGTACTCACTGATCCCATCCATTCCTCACCCAGTGAAAGAGGCACATTTATCCCGAGACTTCTCGTCCACCAACACTGCTTCGACCTCAACATCTTTTAAGAACGATGCCTCGGTTTCGTGCGGGTTTCCAGAAAGAAGTAGCGATCCCGACTGCACGATGCCTTCTGGGAGACAGAGTGATGCTCATGGTGCTGCTGGGGAATGCGCTGGAATCGCACAGCCTGGTGAAGTGAGTCCTCTTCCCACTTGGCCTACTCCCATGTCCGATTCCCTGGTTGGTTCTGAGCCTCCCGCTGGTCCATCTGAGCAGATACCTTCTAATGAGCCAAACCAGCAGCCCCCGCTCATCACCTCTGCTCCTGAACTTGCTTCCTCTCTGATGGAAGATGAGCAGCATTCGGAAGCAGATGAGCCTCCATCAGATGACCCCCTATCAGATGACCCCCTGTCACCCACTGAGGCGAAATTGCCCCACATTGAAGAGTATTGGTCAGATAGTGAGCACATCTTTTTGGATGCCAGTGTTGGTGGGGTGGCCATAGCACCTGCTCATGGCTCTGTTTTAATTGAGTGTGCCCGGCGAGAGCTTCATGCTACAACTCCCGTCCAACACCCAAACAGGAATCATCCTACACGTCTCTCTCTTGTCTTCTACCAGCACAAAAATCTAAATAGGCCCCACCACGGTTTTGAAATAAACAAGATTAAGTACGAGGCTAAAGAACCTAAGAATAAGAAAATTAAGGTCTCAGAGCAGAGAGATCAGGCAGCTAATGAGGGTCCTGAGCTGTCCCCTGAAGTTAATGAATTGAACCAAATTCCTTCTCGTCAGGCATTAACATTAACCCATGACAATGTTGTCACCGTGGCCCCTTATGCTCTCACACACGTTGCAGGGCCCTATAACCATTGGGTATGAAGGCTGTTCTCCCCTTTTTAATGCCTTTGCTAGTGCAGTGTATTTTCCAAGGTGCTGTTAAAGGAAAGTCATATTGTTGTTTACTAGATAGATCTTCATCTCACCCATTTGAAGGCTGAAGTAAAACAAGCAAATGCAGGAGGGTGGGTATTTCTTAACTGTGACTATATATTTTGACAATTGATAGAAGGTGCACATTTTAAGCAAAATTAAGAAGTTTTATAGTTTTAAATACATAAAGAAACGTTTTGGTTAGGTGTAAACCTTGAGAGAATCCCTCAGTTTGGTGCTTTAAATAAGTCTGTTTACTATGAAACGAGTAATTTTTAGAGGCTTTTAACTGATAATGTGCTATGATGTAAAATCAAGATACACAGTGTTAACTCTACACAGCTCCTGGTGCTTAACCACATCGACACAGTTCATTATAAGCTGAATTATTATTTCATGGTGCCATTGTTTCAACATCTTCCAATCATTGCTAGAAAATAGGCATATTCCTTTGAAATAAACCAATGAAAAGTTTTCTCTCTTAAGGTGTCTCTCCTGTATAAAAGAATTCATTATTATTAGTAATGGTTGGACGCTGTTCATAAATTGTAAATATATATTTTAAAAGCACTTTCTATTTTTAAAATTAACTTGAAATAGTATAGTATGAGAATCCAATTGTCTATTGTTTGTGCATATTTGCATACAAGAGAAATCATTCTTGCTGTGTAGAGTTCCATCTTATTAACTGCAATATGTATTCATACATGTGTATGGTTTGTGTTTTTTTAATGTGTTCTTTCTCATTCAAATATTAGCTACTTATAAAATCAATCATGCAAAAATTGTTAATTATCTCAAATTGGAATTTGAAAGATTATCACCAACATTGATTAATATTTTCTTGGGAACTAAGTAAGTGTGAACGCTTATTGAGCAACATTGACCCCAATTTACTTTCACTGTAACTTTCTCAATATAATCAATGAAAGGTGTTTCCGAAAGGAGATTTGACATAATAGGATTCAGAAGAGTCAAATGCTTCTGAAGTTTCAAGGTAATAAAATTCAAAAATTAAGTAGTAAGAACCCTAACCATCCCAAATTGCCTTATTCTGAAAGTCATTCTAGTAGAGACTAAAATTTTAGTAGAAATATTTTGAAAACAAATTCCTTATCATTGCACATGCAAAACAAATAGTAGGAATGATATAAATAAGTTAGTCCAAAGTAGTTTAAACATATTAGTTTTGGGGGAAATGATAACTCTTCTGAGATAATTGCCTATGATCTAGGTAACCGGAAAATAGGCATTCTGTTGAGTTTTTAGTCCTCCTATTATTTCTTCTATTACGTTTTCCGGTTCATAGCAAAACAAAAGAGATTGCCCAAACCAAATTTTAGATCAAGAAGAAATTTCAATGAAATACTTGATTCTGTTAAAATGCAGAGGTGCTATAACATTCAAAGTCTCAGATTCCTTGGGAGTATGGAAAACCTAATGGTGCTTCTCCCCTGGACATGCCACAGGAAGCCCATAACCGCTAACACTCACAATTTTGGTGCAAAAGCGAACAATTCCAGTAAGCTCTCTAAATAAAATTAATCATAAATTATTAAAATAATATATGGTGCAAAGTATCCGTTTCAAGCTTTTGACTAATCAAAGTAAAGGAATATGAAGGGATTGTAAATAGCAAAATGTCATTGATAGACCATCTTGTACATGTAGATTTCTGCTTTTGAATAGGTACAATAGGGTAATTCATTAACTTGTTTTAGTATTTTGTGTGCCTTAGATTTCTGTTGTAAAACATGTATATTTTTGTGAGCCTCTGGTTTCTTATACATTTAAGTATATAAATAAGTGATTGTTTATTGTTTCAGCTGCTTAAATAAGATATTTACTAGTAGTAGACCATCAGGAATATACCCTTGTAATATTTTATTTTAGGCCTTAGCTCTCACTACAAGTTATTTTCTCACCAGATTTAATGGATAAAACTTAAAGATCCTTTATCCATCCACCCATCTATCCATTCAACACTTATTGAATGTCTGCAAATTTAAGTAATAGCTTTTGTTTTCTTTGAATCACCACCCAAGACAGTAAACTTGAAGAATTAAAATCCTAGAAGATACTCTAACACACATTTTTCAAAAAAAAAAATAAAAAAAAGTAAGCACATTTCCTTCAAAACAGACCATTGTGATATATGTACAGCAATTCAGATCAGTGTCACTAAGTGAAAGTAAGTTTCCTTAACAATATAAACTTGAGGCACGCGTGTTGATTTAGGGGAGTATTGAGATTTTTGAAATTAGTTGCAGTTTACCAAAACAAGTACATGAAAATATCCAGTCTTAGCTAAAAATGTCTCCATTCAGTTATAATTAACACCTGCTGAACCACACATGATTCCTGCATTATAGAACTCTTTCATAAGTTTGCCATCCCATTGTATGCCCTGTAATTTTTTAAAAGCTCATGCTTAAATGTTCTGCAGCATTGTGATTGTATACTGGCTACACTGCTGTTAGAATGCTCTTTTTCATGAAGCAAGGAAATAAATTTATTTGAAATGACATTTTCACTCAGAAAACTGGTTATCTAATATTTCTATACCTCAATTATATTTTACTGTAATGGATCACTTTTGTTTTACCCTTTTTTTTTTTTTTAGCAATCAATCTTCTGCCTTTGGGTTTTCAAACTTCTGCCTTTGTTCATGGTGTGATAAATGAATTCATTGATGCATGCCTCCCAAGTTAGCCCAACCTGTTCATAATATGTTACAAACTTAACTATGATGGGAGAATAACTCCTGTCTAGTGTAGAATCCTACAAAATATGCTGCCCTTCAAATCCTATTTCTAATGCCTCGTAGGCTGTCATTGAAAACATTTTTTCTTGTTAGCTTCATCTACATCCTCTTTCCAATTCATCCACAAAGTACCAAATATATCATGACGTAGACCTGTTTGAAATATATCAGCGATTTTCCACCTTTGTGCTACAAGAATTAAATTATACCCTTTTGTGGTGTGTTTTGTTTTTGTTTTTGTCAGATTGGCGAAAGATAATATATTTTTTGATGTGCTGCAGAATTTTAGTAATTAGTTTATTTGTGCCATAAGATAAAAAAGGTTGGAAATCGCTGAAATATATTATTATTATTATTATTATTATTGAAAGTGGAGCCTAACAGAATGTATAGCTGTAGGTTAATTTTTGCAACATATTAGCAAAATGTTTGCATCTTAAATAACCTTCCAACATCTTTATGAAATCTGCATGTGGATGAAATAATTTCATTTGTTAAATATAGAATTTTACTAGATTAGAACCATAAGCAATTTGCTTAAGACATAACCCAAATACATACTTAATTGAATGCATACTCTTGTAAATGAGATATTGACTTAATTCATATCAAGTATCCTACTTTCTAATATTATTACTTCATAGATTCCTACCCATTCTCATTTATTTCACAATAGCATGTATGGAAAATAACCTCCAACTATTTAAGTTTGGTCTTTTTAATACATATTGAAATCTTTTATCTGGGACAATGTTTTGACATTGCATGACAACTCCCACCAATAGCAGGCACAGCATTTCTTTTGAATATGACGAAGTAGCTGTATGTGACCTTTAATATATAGCTACTTTCTATTTCACAACTTTTTTGATGCATGGGAATCTTTTTGTCTAGTTTTAGTACAATTGTGAGTTTTTATCTTTTGTAAGAATTAATGGCAAGAATTGTGACATAAGCTAATATTATAGTGGCGCCTCACAGCCCTGGAAGACACCTTAGAAGTCATAGAATTCAATCACTGGAGCCCAGAGAGCAGATTTTAATGTCAGTGTGAAATTATTTTTGTAATTATAATTTAAAGAATCAAATGAAGGTTAGGATGACTGTATGAAAATAAACATGATTTGATCGCCCATACGGTATTTTATCAATGGGAATTAACCTTATTTTTGTACAAGTCCAAAATAAAATGGCTTTGGGTTGTTTTTTTCTGAGAGGTTCAGGGATAGAAGTGATATTGGATCAAGATTTCCCTGCCTTCAGAGACTCTTGGACCTTGATGGGAAATTTAGCTGACTTTTACCTATTAAGCTATCCTGTTAACACATCCTATAAAGTGTGGCAATAGTCTTGTCTGCTATTTCAATAAATATCAAGTACTTAACACAGTACAGGTTTTTATTCCCCCTGGAACAAGTGTTGGGCATTTATAAGAAGTTAAAAGATTGAATGGTTAAAATAATTGGGGGAAGTATATATTTCTATTGTATATACTATTTAACCATAGTTGTACATACACTCTAAGTATATGTCTTGCCTAGTTGGCCCCATAATTAAGTCCCAGCGTAGGTTATTTTAATGTGGCTGTCTACATATTAGAATACTGTCTTATTTGTCCACAGCTACTAAACTTGCCCATAAGTGTATTGTACTTGTAACTTCAACGTCAATAGTATGGCACCCTTAACCAAGTGATAAAAATCAGTGCTCTGGATTTATCTAAATCAAATTATGCTCCATGTTGAGCTCTCGTCTAATAGGTTTAGGAAATGATGCCATCCATTGCTCTAGCATGCAATTCAGAAAGAATCAGTATGAACTTTATCAGAAGCTGAATATCTGTGTTTTCTTATCATGTAATGAGATTAATTGACATCTTTTGCTTTTCTCTTGTGTATAGAATAGAGACTAATTTCGTCTGTTAATTTTGGACATGGTGAAAATGGCTTGTATCCAGGACCTCGCCCTTTTTGTCCACATTGAACTCTACAAACTTTAATTCTCGGCATTCTAGTATCTGAATGAGGTTTTCTTAGTCCCTGCTTCTTATGGGTACCCAATCAAATACCAGTGTTTGTTTCAAAAGGCATGTGTCTTATTCCTTCAGGTAATCCAAAGGCATTACTTACTTTCCCCTAATTTTCACTGCCTTGAGGGTCCCGCAATATGTTTCTCTTGTGGTAGTCTGCAGGTTTAGTTTTTCCAGCTTTAAACGTCCAACACATTTTTCCTTAGTTGGCTTTCCTCCTTTCCCATCCTTACTGTGATATCTGTGATCCTGCCTGGGCCACAAGTTTCCTTCCAGTTTGTTCAGCCATTTGTCCCCTCAAGTAAAGCAAAGCAAAACTTAGTCTAAGGTAGGAACGTTATCAGATGTTAAACATTATTAGCTGATTCTAACCCATCCCTGTTTCAGTGCAACTTTGGAAACTCGGGTTGTTCTAAAAAGATAAATTCTGGCCGTATCTGCTGTTATGAAAGGCATTCTTTTTTTTTTTTCTCCCCCCCACAGCTGTCTGAAACATTTGCATTTTTAGAGATAACACTATTAGAAAGTAATTTGGTTTCTTCTCCAGTCGGCTGGATATAAACTTATAATCTGACCATAAACTCTGCCTGTTATTTTTTTTTTCATTTAGCCATATAACAGTGTCAATAAGTGCACTTTAATATTTTTTACACTTTTTATCCTTTCCTCTGATTTTCCCCTTTCTCTGTCCTGCATTCCCCAAGTCCCCTACACAAATACGCGTGGTTCATTTAAGAATAGCAGTGATCTTGCTCACTTGTCTTCCCGTCTTTTAAAATCATGTTTCTGAAATTCTTTATGTAATTGTACCAAAAGGAATCAAGAGCTTTTATTCGTTCTTTTAAGTAAGGGAAAATTCAGTTTTTAGGAATAGATATGATCACAAGACCACAGATCAGCATTGAGTGGTCTCTATCCCAACAATGTTTGACTCCAGACTCATTTATTAGTGGTTGAGTGTTTTATAAAAAGTTGTGCAAGCCCTGCTTGGTTTGGCTCAGTGGATAGAGTGTCAGCCTGCGGACTGAAGGGTTTGATTCCGGTCAAGCGCACATGCCCAGGTTGCAGCCTTGATCCCCAGTAGCGGGTGTGCAGGAGGCAGCCAATGATTCTCTTCTCATCATTGTTTCTATCTCTCCCTTCCTCTCTGAAATCAATAAAAATACATTTTTAAAAGAGTTGTGCAAGAAGTTAAATATTCTACCACCACTTCTATATGGCTTTCCTATTTTTGTATAATGCATCCTACTAACGGTCTGACTGGTGACTTTCTTAGTAACAGATCTGATCTATAGAAGACAATATTTTTTTTGCATGTTTTCCTCCTATATCCCAGCCCAATTTCCTTCTTTGGAATTTGGTTGCTGGCAACAATAGAACCTATTCTATAATCTGGGTGAGAAAGGTTAAAAAGTGAACTGAAAGTAATGACTTTATTTAAAAATTTTTTTACTCATTGAATTTGTTCAGGTAACATTGGTTAATAATTGAAGAGCTCTTAAACATGGGGAAAGTCAGTCATCAGAAGCTCTTTCAAGTTCCATGGGAGAAGTTAAGGGGCAGAAATGAGGGAGAATTGTGTTCCTATCAGCAACAGGCAAATATACTCTAGGTGCTCAACACCAAGAAATGCTTTTAATGTTTCTTCTCCCCACTCCATACCAGTTTTCTCTGAAAAAATAAATCGCTCAAAATGAGGAACCAGCCCTAGCCGGTTATCTCACTGAGTAGAGCATCGGCCTGTGTACTGAAGGGTCCTGGGTTGATTCCTTGTCAGGGCATCTGCCCGGGTTGCAGGCTCAGTTCCCAGTGGGTGGGGGGTCTTGCAAGAGGCAGACAGTCAATGATTCTCAGCATTGATGTTTCTCTCTCTCCCTCTCCCTCTCTGAAATCAATGAAAATATATAACGGAAAATGAGGAACCATTTTGAAATCAAACATGATAGTAAGAAAAATTGTAATTAATCTTGTGCTTTATAATGTTGTAGGATATCAAACTGCTTTATTATGTACTACTTTCTCTCCAGCACTGGGGATTGGACAGAGAATGTTTCCAACTTACTAAAATAAAACCTCGGAAAACTAGAAATTTCAACATCATTCACAGAGGGTTGTGATTTTTTATTTTATTTTATTTATTTTTAAAAATATATTTTTATTGATTTCAGAGATGAAGGAAGAGAAGGAGAGAGACAGAAACATCAATGATGAGAGAGAATCATTGATCGGCTGCCTCCTGCAGGCCCCCTATTGGGGATCGAGCCCACAACCCGGTCACGTGTCCCTGATCGGAACCGAAGCCGGAACCCTTCATTT